AATTGACGCTCTCTTGAGTTTGTGTATTTTTACAGCAAGAAATCGGTGCATCTTACCCTTTACTCGGCTTACACTGCAGTAAATCTCCCTGTTGACAAATTACTCTAATGTTAAGGAGTGTTCAGAATTCAGGCATTCTTATTCGCATTGGTAATGAAAATGAAATGCTGCATAATTTTGTGTTGCTTGTTGGCATTCGGTTGAACAAAAGCTTTTTCGCTGCACAGGACAAGGGGTACAATATTTAAGTTCCACTGTACACGTATTCAAAACGAAGTGGCTCGTCAAAGCTTGCTTCACACATCGAAGCAAAAGACTGCGATTGCGCAATCAGTTTCCCTTGCCAAAAACCCAACAAAAACTTTATTAATTCCCCAGGATAATCACTATAGTTCAATAAAAAATGTGTTTTTCCTTTCTTTTCACCGCCGCAGGCATGCCGAAACTTTATATCGGCTTCATCTTTGCTGATGGACCACAGGTAAGTTGATATATAGGACAGATATATAAGCCAGGCTTATTGTTCGCCTAACTTTTGTGCTTCAAATTGAATTCCTTTGTTACGACGGGCGATTAATTCATTTCAAAACGGAATACATAACCGCACAAGGAATTTATTCAATTAAAAAAATAAGAATCATTAGCTAATACCTGTTCTTTACTGAAGAATAGTGTTCATCTGCAAAAAAGGAATTTTTGGTTAAATTGTGCGGGTAATTTGCACTGACATACCTTGACGTGATTAATTAAACTACCCGAGGATTCAAAGAGAATGTTATACTGAAAAATTCAGCGCGTTTTTTCGCTAGAATTAGCCATTCCCCTTCAAAGCAAGTGATAGACAATCTGATCCGAATATGATTTGATCTTATTGGACAAGGAAAGAACAGTTTAGGAATGGCTGAAGAATTTCCAATAAGTCTTTGTAATTGTATCTTATACTTTTTTCTACGCGCCTTTAATTATAGATTGGCCAAAAATGCATAACTTGATGACTAGTGAAGGGCGTTTACATTGTGTGGAACCTTAGCTAGCAAATTGTTATGTATGCATTTGTAAACAGACTACAGGTTCTAGCAGCTCACAAAAAATACGATTTACTGAGATACGTGTGTTTCTGACAATAATATATTCATATCAATTTACCTGCAATATCTGTGCCGAATATAATCGTCAAAGTCAACGCAATACCACTAACACTGGTAAAATTAATAATCCTCATTGCTTTCAATCGTTTCTCATTCCACCGCATGCACCTTTCTTATATTAATAATGCTGAGCCTTATGCGCATGATGTTTTAATGCATGCAAATGTTTACGTAGGATTAAGGGAACCCTTGCGGATAATTTCATTTCTGGTCATGTGACCAAAATTACTGTACGAGTTCCGCTGATAGCAGAAATTAGCGGCTTCCTTCATCGAAAATTATATACTATCAATATTCATCTTTTCTGCTTTCCTATTGGACAAGAAGTCCACGCGTGGAGGGCTTCAAATCTCCATAGTTACGCGTGATCAACACGAGCGACTGAGCGAGCATCTAATGCACAGGAAGTCGGGGACACCCCCCCCCCCTAAAACGTACGTATTTTTTGAACAATTGCATTAAATGTTTTCCTGTTGTCCGATTGTCCAATAGGAAAGCAGAAAAGATGATTATAATATAACATTTATAGTACGCGCGTGCTGATTGGTCGAGAAGCGTGTTTCTATTTAACAATTAGTCGCCGAAGGCGAGGTGATTACAAGCCTATACTGAGCCGAAGGCGAAGTGAATATAGGCTTGCAATCACCGAGCCTGAGGCGACTAATTGTTTTAGTATAATTTCAGTATTGAAAAAGTTTTATTTATAAATACAACTGATTTATGTTCTCAATTTCTGCTTCCGAAATTTTTCCAAAACGATTTTGAGTATTTTCAGCCATGTTTTTTGGGGAAAAGCAATAGTTACTGCTCAGACTGCTCTGAGCAGTAACTATTGCCTCATAGTTACTGCCGAGGGAGCCAATCAGAATGCTCAAAGGTCATTTTTCAATACTGAAATTATACTAAAACTGTATAGAAACACGGGAATTTTCCCGCCGAACTTGACAAGCGAAGCGATGTAATGAGAATTTGTAATTGAATCGAATCATAATATTTGTACAAAATCTTTTTATTGAGTTATATTATAAAAGAAATAGAAAACATTTTTTCCTGTGTTTCTATACAGTTATAGAAACACTTGTGGGAGTTTGGGAGAACTCGAAATAACGTGGAAAAACTCGCCCTACGGGCTCGTTTTCCCACTGATTATTTCTCGTTCTCCCAAACTCCCACGCGTGTTTCTATAACTGTATAGAAACACGGAAAATGTTTTCTATTTCTTAAATGTTAACACTAGATATAATAACAAATCACCTATTCACTGACACCTCGGGAAAGCAGTGTATTTTGTTGACCCTCGATTACTCGTTGTTGGGTCATCTTCGCCTCGGGCAAACAACGGCGGTTTGGTGCTGTTTCCCTGTTTCCCAGAGTCGAAAATATTCTCTGCAAGAAGCTTCTATGATAAACTATAAACCCGATGTGCAATATAACTTTGATTGACATTGTCCTACCACAGGGCATGTCATTAACGGCCAACCAGTATAATAGCTATAAAGGTTGGTGTTACTCGAAGGAAGGCAAACGATATAAACAAAGCAAATATAAAATTACAATAAAGGCATGCAAGTATAAGTTTATTATTATAGTATAGTTACCTCAGTTCAGTGCCCACCAGATTAGTGCGATTACTGTGAATAATCATTAAGACGCATTGTCATGTGAGTATCCTCAGGCTGGTTCGACAATATTCAGGGATGGTGACCCGGCCATTACTTTCTAATCTCGTGTTCTACTTCTACAGAATGGATCAGAAAAGATGCAAACACTATTATTTGCATAAGTAGATACTGCGAAATCAACTGGCGGTGCAACTAATTGTACTTCTGGGAATTGAAAATATGTTTTACTCCTTGTTATTCAAATAGCAACACAACATAGGTTTCGTCGAACTTGATGATACAGAATTTTGCTTTGCGCACCTTTTAACAGTTTAATTGCTGTCGGGATCAAACGTCTTGCTTCCGGATTGACTTAGCCTTAGACCTAGCTAGGGGAAATAGCTAACTTAAGTAACTTTCACCGTAGCACGGGAACAAACGAATGTGCTGGAATGTTTATTACTTGTGCATAGTATCTATGGTATCTTATTTTACAACTAGGGTGTCTAAAAAAACGCAACCTTAAATATGCAAGAACATTAATACAGCTCTAAAGTGCAATAGATAAGCACCTTAATCCTTCATTTAAAATGCTACTGAAGCATTTTAGCTGAACTATGGTGGAAACCCGAACAATATTAATATTCTTGCATATTTAAGTGTTGCGTTTTTTTTAGACACCCTGTATTCATCACTTATACTGGGAGAAATATAACATGATTTCAATATTACGTCGTTAACTTCATGTTTGACTTATATTTTTCGGTTGCTGGAAGGACAGTGCCAAATCTTTGAATAGCTAGTATTGGGTCCCCTTTACACTATATACCGGATTGCTTCCGGAGTGTGACAAATTTTGTAGGTATCAACGGCAGTACAAATACCAAATATATCAAACTAATAAGCATTTGCTTCTAACTATTGCCTTTAAAGGCAAACGAAGATATCGTGACAAGCGGAATTCGGTATAGTGTAAACCGCAGGCCTTAAGATATGCAGTATATATATATATATATATATATATATATATATATATATATATATATATATAAATATATATATATATATATATATATATATATATATATATATATATATTATATATATATATATATATTATGCATCCTGTCAATATTCACGCATGCATCTTTGCGCTTAGCTTAGACCTAGGTAATACGTCACATTTTCGTCGCGTTGAATGCAATTCAAACAATAGATAACGAGATGATTAGAGACTATTTTAATAAATCTGGATTCTTATAAGAACCTGTACATTTATCATAGACTATTCTACGACTAGATAGAGTTTACGTCACAGGCCTAAGCCAGGCCCAAGCCGGGAGTTCGCCTGGATTTTCAAACTATTGACCCACTTTGGCCTCTTATTTATCCTGTCGGACTCGATCAGAACGGAATGACTGAGACTGTATGACGCCTCTCATCATGCAAATTTCATTTGACAGAAGTCGCTTAAAGTAAATCATTAATCAATTTAAGACATAAATCAATAAATACTTCTATGCGAAAAAATATTTTAAAAATGTTGTCCACTGCGTCCTGTTCGGCTGACACAGGTAAGTTGTTTTATTTGGGTCGGTTTCAACCTCGCGGAGAAGTCGAATAAGAAATACATATGTCTTTTTTACTAACCCTATGGCTATGCAACTGACTATCTTTAAATGTCGTACTTAATTTTACATTTTGACTATTGGTATTCCATTACCTAAACAAACAGCAACTGCTTTTTGTTTATATGCTGACAGTTACACGGTGGACAGAGTGACAGTCGCTCCAGCAAATGAAGCAACACAGCAATCCAAGTGCATATTTCGCAACCATTCAGCATACACTCATTTTAAAATCAATCTCGCCTTTCAAACTTCGGTCTTCTATTGTTTGCACATTCCTTAGTACAAGTATGTTTGCCAACTATCTTGGAGTATTGTCAAAAAAGAGGCTAAAAGGGCAACGCGTTTGTATAATTTTCGTATAAGCGTTGACTTTTTGTTAAAACTGCATTACAGATGTCGTTTTCGGTTTTGATACGGTATTATAAATTATAATTTGTTGTTTTTCGAACTATATGCGCGAGGCAACTTCGAAATCACTACGAACTTTGCCTAGTTAAAATAAATTAAGGTCTGAAATTAATAACTTTTCAAACAAAATTTGCGCTGGAAGGACAGCAATCTGTCGAAAAAATATTAGCTATTATACAGTTTTCCAGGCATGGTCAAAAAATCCTGCCATCCTAACTGCGTGTAGGCGATATGACTTCAAGCGGTCTTTCCATTCTGCTGTACGTTTGACTGCTGGTTCCAGTCCCACTTTCAGACGATTCAGGCCGCGCGGCCAACTTGTCGTAAGGCACAAAAACCTGTCTTGCATTATGTTGCATGACATCGTATGCATGACGGCCTGAGCTGTCGACATCACCCCACGCGTTTCGAAGCCAATCAACAGCCAATGGTCGAAATGATTGAAGTTTGTCGTACCACGAGATTCGAGAAGGCCGGGTATTTACGTAATCATTCCTGTGACTCACAACTCCACGTGAGTTCAAAGCTGAATCCCCTTCGCTTGTCATGTTTTGGTATTCAGAACCGGAACGAGCTTCTTGCAGCGTCCTCGCACCTTCTGATAGGTTGTTCATCTCAAGCAGTCGAGTGCCACGGGATTGTCGAGAAGAAAAATGCAGAAAAGCGTAATAAAGAGAACCTAACGAAAGATATAGAATTCTGAAAACAAGTTTGGAGTTTCAGGGCTGCTCCTGCCAAACCTTGAATCTAGGATTTAAGTTCGCCGTTTTACCACTTGTATGTAAGTGCCTATTCATATTTTGTACAGGGTAACATATTTTGCGATGCAATGCAGATTGAGCCTGGCATATTTCAAGAGAGAGAAATATCAATGTTGACTAGAATCTTACCTCCATTTCTTCTTTTTTTAGTAATTAAAATAAAAATTGTAACAACTACGACAAACATAAAAGCAACACTAACAATAAGCCAAACCACTTCGGAGTCAACTGCAGCTGAAAGATATAGAAGTAAAAAAAATGGTTATAAGGCCATGTTACGAATCACGAAATATATCATAATAATTAATAAAATCTGTACGGCATATAATTATAAAGACACTAACTCAGTAATATAATGCTATGCAATTCAATGGTTCTATAGTGGATATTTGGTTCATGGAAATAGGATATGAATGGATGGCCTCCTAATTACCTGAACAAGGTTTCTCTACGCATGATCTATTTTCTCGAGCTAATCCTCTGTAACAATTCACGTCAAACTTTCCCGGGGGATTATCACAATGCCGTATCCATAGTTCGACACCCTTGCCACACGTGACGCTGCAAGGAGACGCCTTTGTCCAGTTACTGTAGCTACCGTCAACTATAAAAGGAACATGTGAGAATTCAGGCACCGAGAAGCTTAAACCGAAAGAGGATGTCCTCTCACAATACAATAGGAATTTTGAGGGCTATATCGCGCCCCCCCCCCTCTTGTATTTAAAGTAACAGTTACCACAAACAAGGGCCATAAATAGTCCTCTTTTTCTCAATCAGCTCAAATTAATTTTCATATGAATTGGTAAAATAATTCTAGTTTTTCAATTTTATTTCATTCAGTCGCTTAAAATAAGAGAACCACATGCCATTATAATAGTAAAGATGCGGGGTTCAAATTCTCTGGCCATGCCAGATGCATATTGAACTAAAAACCATGTTACACGGCGGTGCAATTTTTCTTACAACTTGGAATGCAATTTTTCTTTTGAGAGATGTAACTACCGAACTTTTGTCTTTATTACACTCCATGGCGTTTCTTACACTTACATTTTGAAGACTTTTCACTAATTTACATCTCTAAAGTAGAATTGCATTGCAAGTTGCAAGAAAAATTGCACCGTGTAACATGGCCTTAAGAGTACAGTGTGAAATTTTTTTGTCGCAGACACGAGAAAATGTAATGAAAAATAGCTAAGAAAAATATTTATTTCGGCCATACTTGGACATGGTTTTTTGCTACATTTTCTAATCTCAGTCGAATTCCCGATCCCACCGCATCCACGGCCGTGGTATTTAGGTTCTGGATTGTCACAAGTACGTCGCCATATTTCCACTCCCTCTCCGCATGAAACACTGCATCGAATACTCAAATTCCATTTGCTATAACCGCCGTTAACTAGATATATATAAAAAATAATAAATCGTTTTCCTTCTAGCAATGTTCTCTTTCAAGCAAAAAACTGCACAAGAAAAACTGGAGGTATTTCTCCAGCCGCCGTAAATTATTAGGAGTGAATTTCGTAGCCACGTATGTTGCCATAGGAAAAATTAATAATGTATACCTATTGGAAAAAGAGCAAGAGACATGTAGCGAGTTACACAAATATTTCTGGATTTTAATTAAAAGAAACATAGTTTTTGTAGCTTTTGACAGGTCCAGCGGAAAAGTGAAGTAAACATGGCATTGAAATTCCGAAACTGAAAATTTGACTATCACTAGCCTCGCTTTAGTGTACCTCACCACAGGGCTCTTGCTCTTTTTCGAATAGGCCTATTACAAAATGATTCGTCATTAAAATCCGTAGATTGAAAAACAAAACATCATTGAGAAAATGAAAAGGGTTTCAATAAAATTATTCAAAATCTCGTACATCTTTTTAATGATGATTTAGATAATAGCTACATCGAAAATAAGCATATACAGCAAGATATATAATTGCAAATAGGTGAAATAGCATTACTGCAAGGAAAACCCTCATCGTACCTGGGCAGTATTTTGTCCAACATGGTCTATATTCAACAGGTTCTCCTAAATGACTGCAGTTTCGTCCACCATATTTTGGCCATGGGTTATCACAATCTCGTGTCCAAGTTTCAAAACCACGACCGCAGGTCGCATTGCACGCGCTTTTCATTGACCAGTTGCCATAACTACCAGGAACTAAAACAAAAAAATATCTTTTAAGATGCTTGAGAATACGATTGAGTATTTAAAATAAACGGTAATATCGCATATATACGACTCGAATTCGTAGAATAGCTATTAATTAGAATTAATTATCACCTGGTGTACAATTAGGGATATCACAGTACTCCCATCTCTTCTTCCTATCGGTAGTAAAACACCAAGGTCTTCTACCCGAGTTTTTAGGGTTGCGACAATAGTTCTTAGCCTGATTTAATTCTGGATATGTTGTGTTCATCGTGTGACGATGTGGACATTGCTCTGTCCATGACTGGCATGGAATGCCTGAGACTGTTACTGATATATTCCCATGGTAACTGCTGCCATTTAGATAAAGACAATCTGCATAAAAAGAAAACAAATTCAACAACTGGAAAACATGACACATACGTATGCATGCTTGCGCGCGTACTTATTATGTTTACTTAATTTATACATTTGTTGATAAAAAAACTGATTATATCGTGGTACCTGTGCTGGTCAACCATTCAGAAGCGGGAAATGAATCTATAAATGATCAAGAAAACTTTTATAACATGTGACATGGTACAGCTTTCATTATACTCCTTTCATCACGATCCACGACGCAGTCTGCACTTGGTTATATATTATAATAGTTCAATATTCTATGTTCAGGCATTTTACAAGCATTTAATTCGTCTGGTACTTGTCCACGAAGTTAAATGGCTTTTATTTGTGTAAATATAAAACGAAGATTCTTGAAGATTCCAACCAATAATTTTTCCCAGAGGGCTCATTAAGATATTTTTATAAAAAAGGTATTTTCCAAATACCGAATTATATTCTTATACTTTTTACATGCATTTTTTAATTTTTTTCATTGTTCATTTTTCTCTATTACATTCAAAGGGATTTTAGCAAGCAGTTATAATTCCACTATCTACCATTAAAACATCATACCTGTGGAGTTGGTAAGTTGATGGTACCAGCATTCTGGGGTATCACCAGCATTTCTAAACGGTTGTAGCTCGCAACGGACGAGCTTTTTTGTCATCAAACCCGGGTATCGAATAACATAAGCTTTTGCAAAAATTATCCAGAATTCCTCGCACATTTCGATAAATTCAAGACACGTTTGACGACACAACTTTACTTTCTCAACAACGCTTTTGGTTCGATCACAACTCGGAAATTGATGACGACATAGTAGTAACACAATAGCCTGTAGACACTTTCTTAAAGTGGCGTTTTGCACGTGAATATATCTACGTACTTTAGACTCGCCTAGCCTAATAAAACTGTCGTAGTAACTATTAGCTCGGATATTCTCGGTCATTTGCTTTTTAGGGGTCGCGTACACGTATTTCGACAAAGCGACTCCATGATTTTGACAAAAAGGCCTGGTGAAATTCACCAATGGATAACATGAACTTGTGTCGACCAGTACTGGCTCGGTTTCCGCAGGAATACAAGTTCTATGAAGAAGTTTAAAATCATGTTACACTTTTATTAACATCCTTTATGTAGCTATTTGTTTGTCTGAGGTTTTAGATGTTTTACCCCGCTTCTGCAGTTATATTGTGCATTGAGGCACATTTATTAGATTCTACGGTACTATACGCGTACGCGTCTTCAAAATGAATTCGAAGTGCCTCGTCAAAGCCTGGTTAACATACGCCAACAATATAATTATAGGCGGCGATTACGTAACAAAAACACCTCAAAAGTCCGAAGTTCTTATTATCTTAGACTTCAATTAAGATAGTTTAATGGGAAATGTGGTTTCTTTTCTATCACCCCCAAGTATCCCGGAGCCCGTAACAAAATTAGCGAAGGGAAATAATTCCTAAAAAAATGTGACTTACTAAATCGATTTGTTTAAATTTAGGATAAGAAAAAAAAAAAATATATATATATATAATATACCTGTTCTTCACTGGAGGATATTTTTCATCTGCAAATCAAGGGAATTTGAGACACACTGGGCGGATTATTTGCATCGATAGATTGAATAAATAAATAAACTGTAAACTACAGAAAATGATACTGAAAAGTATATAAGCTCTTCGGGTATTGTTTTTTATTTCATAACACTTTATAGATATTGGAAAGGATAATCTAATCCGATAATGACTTGATCTAACTGGATAAGAGATGAACAGTGTAGTTTGTATCTTAATTATATACTTTGCATTATAATGGTGAATAAGCATCAATATTAAATTTTAATACGTCTATACGTATACATACAGTTAAAACCACGATATGTAGGTTAGCAATAATGATATAACTATAAAATTACATAGCACCTTTTAGTAAATGGTTAACTGAAAACGCACTTGTAAACATGAACACGCAAACTGCAGGATCTATAGCAGCTCAAGATAGAAACACGAATGGAATATTGACTGCAATATTTGACTGCAATATTCCCATTGATTTACCTGCAATATCTGTATTGAATATTATCGCTAAAGTCAATGCAATGCAACCAACACTCCTCATCCCGCGGCTATTTCGTACCCCACCACATGCACCTTGATAATATCAATGACGCTCAATGGGCTGTAGGCGTACATACATGTCATTTTCAACGTTTGCAAATGTTTACCTAGGTTTGATAGAAACCTTTCCACCGCTTAATTACGTAAGTAATGTGATGAAATTCACTGACACTGCATACGACTTCCGCCGATAGCAGAACATTAGGGACTTCCTTCATCGCAAATCTCGAGAACTCAATTTGTTTTGGCAGTGTCAGTCAGTTAATGTGCAGGGTGCATTAAAATGCGGGACATGATAGGAGAAAACATTTACTATGGCAGGTGATATACCAACGACATTAATGCATGGTTATCTAATACATTACATTATACTCTGTCGTAAACCTCAAAATATACATCTACCTAGAACATTCATTGCATCAGCCATATTAAATAATTCCGAAAGAGAAGACTTCACAGACACTTCTTACAGTAAGGGAAATGCTTATTTGCACTGAAGATATTTTAATTGAAAGATACTCATGATGTGAATTTTAGACGAAAACACGAAAACAAGTATCTTAGCGTTGGGAAAATGTCCCCACGATGGAAAACGCGCATTTGTGCAAATCTCCTTTAAAGTTTTTACTTTAATTTTTATAAATTACGTAAAACAATTATACAAAACGATATTGAAAAGAATCGCATACCTTTATTGTTCAGGAAAAGCCGTATACCCAGATAATGAAAAACGTTGCACGTTGGCACGTTGTTGAGGACACGTTAAAATGTACACTACTTTTTCTTTTTAAAAAAAATAAATATCACGGTAGGACCCAGGCCTAGGACGGTAGACCTATAGGTTTATATACGTCCCTTTTTCAGTCCATTTTGAATTTCATTTGGCGGGACGAAAATACTATACATATAACTACTAGGCCTATACTAAAGGCTGAAGCTGAATTTATTATTTAACATCTATATGTATATAAACAAATGCATACTAAAATTTGCGGCAAACTAAGCGGTTCTTTCGATTTATACACACGTACAGACCAGCAAGTTTTTCGTCATGTACGCAAAAAAAATTCACAAGTTTTCCTTGACAAGGACACTTGTTCAAAAGCTTTTTGAAGTTTTTCAATTTCTGCATGTTTGTTTTGATATTCGGTCGTATACTCATTTTATCATGGCTCATATCGTAAAATATACTCATATTTTCGTAAAACTTGTCAAGAAAAATTTGCCAATTTTTTCCCGTTTACACGAGCAAATAAAACTTGGCAAGGAAACTGACTTGTCAAAGAAAACTTGTTCGTTATACACATGCACCAGCAAGAGAACTGGTCACGAAAACTTGTCAAGGAAAACGTGCCCGTTTATACGGGGCTTTATACTGACTTACCCGATACTGCTATACAAGCGTGCAAGGAGCTCTAAGTTTCTTAAGTTTCTCAATGACCACGCAAAACTTGAATTGTCTTTTAATTAGTTCATTATTCGCCGAAGGCGAAGGCGAAAAGCGTTTACCTTTACCTTTACCGTTTTTTTACCTTGAAAACAATTTTATGCCCAATTTTTTTTACTTCTTTTGTGCTTTTAGTTACAATAATTTCGTTAAAATAACGTTTTTCTTCATCTGTCACTTCATCTGACAAGAATTGTTAGATTTTGTTACATTTTGAAATACCACTTAGGTGATTAATATTACAATTCACCGTAATTACTTATACGACACTCGAGTATACATGTAAGAGTTTTTCAATTGTAAGACTTCCTAAAGAAGAGAAGATATTTTAAATTTGTCGAAAAAGAGCTCTCTCTGCATGGCGCTGTCTGTATTAATTCGCAGTAACAAAGTGGCGTAAACGCGCTATAGTATAAGCGATATAATATATTTCTGGTATGTTGAAATCAGACAGTGTCAAAATTATTGAGAAAATTTTAAAAAGTTCATCGTTTCGAAATCCTTAAATATTGCGTTGGAACTTTACCGGAAGTGCATCCAAAAATGTATTAATTTGGTGAGACCCAACCAAAATATTATAGGAATTTACTGAATAGCGTACGTGGCGTATTACCCAAGCTATGTAAAATTCTTACAACTGATACATCTCTCTAAATACTTTTCCATGTGTATGCCTGGATGGTGGTTGCTGTGGTCGATTATTGGTTGATATTGAGGTTGCGGTTGCCATCGCCGTATTGCAAAACATGTATGCCGTCTGAAAGGCGCGCGACGAGGGATTCTGGCGAGAGTCAAAATCAATAAAGCTTTCGGGCAAGTTTTCCTTCACAAATTTCACTAAAAGCTAGTCAAGCCAGCTTTTCAAGTAGAAAACTGCGCAACAGTATCTTCGCGCCAATTGAGCGGTTCAGTTGGGAAGTTTTATCATTTCTGTTTGTTTTGAGATTCGATTGATTCATTTTATCATATCGTCGTAAATATTATCGTAAAACTTGTCAAGAAAAACTTCTCAAGGAAAACTTGCTATCATGGAACTGGTCAAGAAAACGTGTTAAGGAAAACTTGCCCGTTTGTACGGCTTAAGGCTTCCGAGTTCTGGTTGGCCACTCTGAGTTCGAGATTTCGACAGCTTATGAAATTTAGAAACCGACAGAGAAAACCGTTCACGATTTTGTTCACGCGAGCAATAAACTGAAAACGTTTGGATTTCGGCATCCTACTCATGATGAGCAAGGTCCAAGGATATATTTTTATGAAAACGAACAGTCAAATCATTTGAATTTTTTGTATTAATATATAATAATTTGTAAACAGAATAAACCATTAAACTTGTTATTTCTACTATAAAATATGTTATTTTTTAATTGTTAAAAATATTGTGAAGTATCTTTTACTAGCAAACAATTTAAAAGATATAAGATGAAAAAAATACGGCATCTTATTTGACACAACTATAAAACTTCAGTATTGCCATTAATTTTGATAATAAAAGAAAAAAGTCTCAAAAATCTCTAGTCAGTTCTCGAAGTAACGACGTTTACGTAACCAAGTCGGCTACTGAATCATGATAAAGAAACCTCGCATCCACTCAAAAGTGCGGTCGTCAAAAATCTGATATAGAATACGTAAAATTTATCATTAGCCTTACTAATCTCGACCGCAATATCTTTAAGGGCTTTGATTTCCGGTGGATTATACGTCTCAAGGAATCGAGATATCGCCAAATGATGTTCTTGTTTTGTTCTATAGTATAGCTCACGTCTTAGAAGTTAGACCTGCATGCCGACTTTGTTTATCGGAGTCAACTCTATCTTGTCGTTTAATCGATATTCAATCGTTCTTTATTCACCCCTATTACACCTGCTGAGTTACGCACCATTGGCACTGCTGCATTCAGTGACGAATTATTTGGTCAGCATATGAGATAAGGTCAATTCCGTTTTGCTGGTAACAATTCAGGGGCGTGATTGATTTAAGAATTTCGGTAACAAGTATATAGCGAACAAAAATAGTGTTAGATATTTAGGCTGAGTTTACAGACAGTACATCATATTTTAAAAATATAATAGTTCGAAGTGTAAACAAGGCGTTTGTTTACGTTACAGACTTTCACATCACGTTTAGAGTGCCGGGCATAGAATTACTACCGCGTTTTAAAAATGCTCTTATTTTTCGAATTATTTTTAAACTCCCCTTTCGAAAGTTGTCGCCTGTTTCTGCCCGCTAGCGGAAAATGTGTTCACACTTTATTTCGACATGCATGTAGCTGATCACAGTCCCTTCAGCGTCGACCAACTGTATTTCCGGTTACGTTTTCGTCACAGCCTCTCGTCCGCCCATTGAACCCAATATAACTGGCAGACTATCTTCTGGTAAATTCCTTGGACTTTCATGATGGTTTTAAGTTTAATTATTTTCGTGCAAAATCAACCGGTGTTTGGTGTTTTCCAAAGTCCTTCCCAACTTCCACAGCGAATGCAGGTTCGGCGTCAACAGACGACCCTGGGAACGAGGTTCGTAACCTCGTAATAGAAAATATGGGGCATTTCTGGGCATTTCTCAAACCGCAGATATCTATATAGTACCTGAACGGCGAGCTTCATGCTTCCAATAAGCGTCTGGGTACGAGGTTGCAGATGTCACATGATCTAACAAATTGTGGGGAGGAGGATGTTCGATTTCTGATGAATCTATTTTATATAAGAAAAGATCGCTGAGGAATAGTGGCTCATGTTCGCATTTAGAAGCAATTTTACTGTTGAATTTCACCTTTTGATCTAGCTGGTGTATTAAACGGCAACGTGAGTGTTTAAATACTTTATTTTAATGATGTTTACTTGATCTAAACGATCGTATTATTAAGTGTAAGCTTCAGTTTAGGGTGGTCAGACTTTCATTTGAACACCAAGCGCGTTTGGCTCGCGGAAAACCATACATTTATGTCCCGTTAGGTGTATGGTTTTCTTAATGAATCGGTGTATATTTTAATCGTTTAAACGGGAGACAAGTGTTCGCTTAAACGAATGATACGACACAATGTTTTGTAAGGTATTTATAATAATATGATATCGAATCATCAGAGTGCCGTCGTGTGAATATTTAGGCACATGCTTCGGCATTGATACTTCCCTTCGGGGACAATAAAACTCGGCCTACTTTATACGGTCGGAGACCCCTAAATATGTCCAAAGAAATTACACGGGAATCTAATAGAATATATACGGTACAAATACAGCGCCGTGATATCTGACAGCGTTTATATTGTTTCATAATATATTCCGTTCTCCTGTAATTATCGAGTCTGTCACATTTTGTGGCCTTTCGATCTTTTATGCTTGCCAAGCTCAAAACGTGAATTTCGTATCTTTCGTTTTCAACCACTCACGACATTTCACGCCAGTGTGATGGGAGTAGTGTACTTTATTGTGCCCTTGTTAATCCGTGAGATAATGCTGACCGACTTCGTGTGAATATACATACATGTATATATACGTATTAAATAATTGCTACTTTAAATCAGAATAAACAATAAGAAGATAGAAACATTACCATCATTACGTTATCTTGTCAAGTTATGCTTTTAAATAGATCACTGGTATTTATAAGCTTGTATGTTAAGCTGGGTATTTTTGGGGTGGCCCGTGAATGTATCAATTGTAAATAGAAATATGGTCCAGTGACTCCAATATGATGACTCGTGTATAAAATGAGGAAGTGTGTTGACTGTTGAGCCATCATTCGGTAGTCTGGTTGGTCTACAATTCTAGCACAGTTAATATGAACTAGTAGTCAATAATCTCTAGTTCCCAATCCAAATAGTATTTGAATGCAAGTGGGAGATATACTTGTGGAGAGATATTTCCATATTTCCTTGTGTTTTTTCATGAGCTTGCATTATTGTGGCTAGATTATGCAAAGGTAGATATTTTTTAGTTTTAGTTTTCCATAAACTATAAACTGTATTTCAAAAGCTTACTGTGTCATTATATACTTGTTGACATTTAACACATCCCATCATTATTATAATAATATTTGGAATCCACCAAAACAAACTAAACATTTTGCAGTCAAACCAGGCTCCATTCGAAGCAATATAGATTATAGTGTCCTGCAGCATTGCAACTTGGATTCACAGTTTGATCCAACCGATGATACAATGATATAATTCAATTCCAGATTGAAATTGCAATGAAATTTTTTGAGGACTTCTATTTCCCAATTTGAAAATGTAGCAGCCCTAATATAATTGTCTACAGGAAATTATTGGCGAAAATGAGATAGCAGACAATGCCTCATAAATTTAGATCATGTATTGTTGTTGTTCAAACATCAAGAGGTGGACAAGTGTTGCCGTAAATATTTCCTTTTGGCAGATGGGTTACAAACAAAAAATCATATGTTAACATGCCCATTGTAGGTCTAGGCATGCCCACTGGTAGTAATATCTTTTATTATCTCTGTTTCACGAGCAACTTTATACTGGTGATACACTGGTGGTATACATGTATTTCCCATGATGATGGATGCTTACTCTGCTGCTAGCCTGCTACGGTAAAGCCTTTTAACATTGGCCGAGTCAGCAAACCAAAATGATTCTTCAATTCTGATGTTCAACATAATAAATAATTATTATTTATGTAATATCATTTCAGTCATTTGAAACACAAAGGACAGTTTTTCCAGTGTGTCTTAGCCTGACCATTTCAGTATAAAATATGCCCTTGTTTCTGGTTTGAATCATGTGGAAATTTCTACTCAGAACTAGCATGGTTACAAGAAAGTGATTTAAATTCAAGGGACAGGCACTTAAAGATACATGTGTTGCAATATGCAATATCTAGTCGTTCTAAGTTGAGTGTTTCCAGAGCTCAGTAGAAGAACATCCTATTATGACTAGAGATCAGTTTGATTAATTTATTTCACAGATTTTTGAAGTGCCCATTTAATGACAAACTTTTGGGCATAGGCTATTTCCTGTAAATGCATCTTTTCAAAAGTTTTTCTCACTCAAGCACATAGGCTTTAACGTGCCGCATTTGCACGTGACCGGATTCGTTTGTATCAGTCGACGTTTCGTTGTGTTTTATAACTACGCTTTCACACGCTTCCGCGTGACTGGGCGACCACGCGTATCCGCGAAAAGGATAAGCATTAGCATAATGTGTTTGTGGGGTATTTTTACAGCAGTGTTCTGCTCTCAACGACGTTCCAACCTCGCTGGTATTTCTTTATATTGCGAGCTGAACTATTTTCTGCATCGAAATATTGAACTAGATAGGGAATAATTCAGAAATATAGCTGGGCAGCATCACCATGTATATTGTAATTTCGTTGCAAAAATAAACCATTCAGTTTTGGAAAGTGCCGCCCTATGTACATGCCACAAGGCGTAATGGGCATGACCTGACCCGACTTGACCATACCCGACTTGACCTGGCCTGATATGCTTTGCTTCGGAAGTCTTGTTTTAAATTATTATAATTAGCCAGTAGCAAGTTTACCAACCTTTTACCTTGACTCTGGGTTGGGGTAAACGATTCTGGGGTGGGGTAAAAGGCCCTAGGATCGGCCAACCGCTTCTGAATTCTGATTGGTTAAATTATTTTTCCTAATGTATGTGTAATTAGCGGAATATGCTTTAATGCTACAATATTATCCGTTCTACTTGACGCCGCCATTTCGAAAATATTCGGCAAAATTTTATGATAAATTATGCTTATTCAAAATACCCACATTTATGCTTATTCAAAATACTCACATTCCGATTCCAGGGCCTCTCCTCTTCTATCCCCTCTGGCCCTGGGAACGAGGTTGGCAAGTTTACTCCTAAAGACACACAATCCTTTAGCCTTTGTCGATACATGGAATGTTTGTATACCCCATAAAGCGACATAATAGACGATATTTTATTGAGGATAGTAACATGGAAACTCTTAAGAATCAGCCATTTGTACCTCCCTGATAAAAGAGCTTAAAATTTTGCACGACTTTGCACAATCGTTCCTTATTTCACTGTTATGGATAAATCAATCCATGTTTTTGAAGTGCCATGTAACGGACTGGTCATCATTTATGGCCGGGATGGGGGCTAAAGCGAAATTGATGGGGTAACTGAAAAAATAGGTATGACTAGGGTGAAACAAAGTATTTGAAAGTGAAAGGTGGGGTAAGAAATTGAAAAAATAAATGAACAATAAAATTAACATTAGAAATCTTTTCATCATAAAGAATTGAAAATGAACTGTACCATCTGTTATGTCGTTTGTTTCTGAAAGATATGATAGGGACTGGGTTGAATTCGGAAATATCACATTGAAGAGCATTGAACTTGCAAACTAAAGGTTGCTGGCTCCATTCTCACCGTGGTCAAACTAATTTTTCAGCTTGTCCGGTTGGCCTCTCAGTCTGAGTATCACAATTTTATTAAAACATTTTCTCTCTTAGCACCACAACCCCTACCACAACGAATGACCGGTCCCTAACGAATTGGAAAATATTGAAATAGGTATCATTTATATTTCCGTGTAGATATGGCTGAGGAGGCATTTGCCATCGCCCTATATGACTACCATTCACAAAATGACGAGGAACTTTCCATAAAGAAAAGTGATAAACTGCTTATTTTAAATGACAGTGAAACATGGTGGAAAGTTCAAAATGAACGCCACCAATCTGGTCTCGTACCATCGAACTATTTGCAGCGAACCGACTTCAATAAGGGCAAGAAGAGCATTGTTCACAAAATATTTTCGAGAAAGGGAAGCAGTGGTGGCCCATCGGATCCCAACACAGAGCCACCTGGGTACGCGTCACCCGAATTTGTCCCCACGCGCGATAGTTCATCAGGCAAGGTGGACGAGGCTATTGCGAAGTATAACTACACACCCGTTAGAGACGATGAAATCGCGCTCACGAAGGGTGATCGAGTAAATGTGCTGGAAAAGGAAGGCGACGGATGGTGGAGGGGTGAAGCCAACGGTAGAACGGGATGGTTTCCCTCCAATTACGTGGAGATAATAAAAGCGGGTAATAAGGAGGGCAACGTTATATGCAAGGTGCGGACTTTGTATGCATTCACAACGACAAGTAGCGAGGAGTTGAATTTCGAAAAGGATTCCCTGTTAGAAATCATCGATCAGCCGAAAGATGATCCCGAGTGGTGGAAGGCCAGAAAGGAGGACGGCACGATCGGGCTCGTTCCCAAGAATTACGTGAAGATCCTTGATGGAAATCGAGACGAAAAACGACCGGTTCTCGACGGCGCTGGTTCAACGCCCGTGGCGGTTGTGGATAATAGTATCCTGAATAAGGATTGGTATCATGGAAATATTTCACGTCAGGAATGCGAACGCAAGCTAAACGCGGCTCCCGACGGCGATTTCCTCGTTCGAGCTAGTGAGACGAAGGTAAGAAAACAAGGAAGTTATTCGTTTTAGATCGATCATCAAATTTGTTTACATTTTCTATAACCCAATCAGAATTTCTGAATATTGACTACTTCCGGTAAAAAGGTGCATTTACCATTTTACATGTAGGAATTCTCATAGCTAAGCCTAAAAAGTGTAAACAAATGTGCCGAAAACGAAATTCCTATTTATTTGGTAACAGCGAATAATCGTGCAACGAACCATTTGCCTGCATTTGTACCCAGTTATACATGAAAGTTCTTATCTGATTTTATCAAAATCATTGCATATTATCACAACACATGTAAGAGAAAAGTACTGATTTCAATTTTTGGAGCTAGACGCTAACCTCGCACAAAAGTTGCTTTTCCCTAACGATTGTCGATGCTCCATGAACGCGTCATGTTATGACAAGCGTTTTGAATTTTGCAAAAAATTGATCATTTCTGTTTTCGACGCTGATATTGATAACGCATCCAACATTTCTTTTCAGAGTGGCGATTTCTCGGTATCGATGAAGGCACCTGATCGGATTAAGCACTTCAGGATCAAGGCATTGCCAAATAACGGTTTTGGAATTGGCCAACGAACATTCTCATCGCTAGACGAACTTGTAGAGCATTATAAAAGGATGCCGATATTTACATGTGAGAACGGACAAAAAATGTACCTATTACGGTCCTACCCTAAACAGGACTATTTAAGAAATGGTATCCAACGTTAGACTATGAGAAGTTAGAATATTTAAATGAGTATACACTCATGTATACTTGATCTATTTACGTATAATGGTTTAGGCTTGAAAATGAAATCTGCGTAATAGATTGGGCGAAATCGTAATACTCCACGGTGAATAGTATAAATATATATATCTATATATATATCGTTCTACCCGTTTGGTGTTTGTGCAGTTTGTAACTGTAATTTCAGTGTAACATATCAAAAGTTTACAGTAAATTATGTAAGAAATATCACAGTAATATTGCGCCTTAGGAATAAGGCGTTTACTTGATTTTTTCTTTAGAAGATTGTAACGGAGCCACCTGTGTTACCAAAAATGTACATTTGCGATAGATAATTAATGATTTGCACAAAGCCTTTGGAATGAGTTAGAGAAAGGAGCTGTTAAAATGCACGTTAACTTTAATGCGGGTTAACTGCCCGCGAGGGTACTAATTCCGCTCGGAGATTTGGAATTACACCCGAGTTTTGCGACAGAACATAGCGAAACCCAAAGTTTTCCAAATTCTATGTAATGATGTTGGATGTTTTTGTTAGTTATGCGCATGCGCGAAATTAAACGAGTGGAGACTGGTAATCAACAGCCTACTGATCAGACAGAAATTTGTATCTCTCAATACGCAAAATTTTTTATAAACATTACATATAAACATTACACCAAATGAAATATCAAAAATAATATAACAGATCCAATCACGAAACACCAAAAATACAAAGAGTTGCACTTCAAGATTGAATAACCGAAGGGAAGCTTCGAAAGGTTTGAACAGTCCAGGAGATTATTTGCTTGGTTTGAAATGGCGATGGGTGCTGCATGCATGTACGCGGTGTCTCAAAAAGTGACACTAAGAAATCATCTCGTCATTCCTAAACCGCCCCACGCATAAGCGCGCGTGATTACATACGAGGGAATTTGATGAAACTCTTTCCTTTGTCAGTTGAACGATGAGGTCCTTGTAAGTGGAATATTGTGGTAATATAATATTTGGTTTATTTAAAATTCAAGAACCTGATGTCTGCATCTAAAGGTTTAGCATTGCGTCCAGACTTTGGCCCGATTTGGCCAAAAAATGTGGTTCACTTTCTGCGCGGTCAAATGGCGTCAAATTACTTCCATTGAGGTAAGTTATGTGCTGCCTGTTTATATCAATGCCGTATTCCGTGTTTCTTTACCGGTTTTAATTTTTAATACTGTATTTCAATATACGCCACCAGAAATGCTGGCGGTGGAAGGCTATAAATGGTCTAATTCTGGTCCTATGTTCTGGTCCTATTTAAAGTTCCCAGCATGTTTGGCGCTCATATACAAAAATTAAAATATAACCATGCTTTGGTTATGATGTCAAATATTTCGATATAGGTAACCACACTGTTTTAATGCTTTTAATGGTCAAATGCTTGTCCTATGTAAAGTTGCAAGCATGTTTCGTGCTCACATACAAACATTAAACAATATAATCATGCTTTGGTTATGAAATCAAATATTTTGACATGGATAACCATGAATGCTGTTTTAATGATGAAATGCTTGTCCTATCAGTCTTAGTCTAGTGATGAAGACAATGGCCTCGTAACTCGTAGGTCGGTGAATAATGAGACGAATATATTTTCATTATGACTTTCGAAAGGGATTTTGGTAAATGTAGCCTTTAACACCAAGCGCTGATGCTCTTGTAGATAATTTTTGAAGAACATACGTCGTGCATGTGCGCGTACTATCTTTAATTATCTACGTTTGTGATGTGTGCACTATTGCATTAAATCATTTCCTAATGAAATTAACCTATTTTAGCTTATAGCAAATGCAGTGAGTGAAAAAGGACACTTTAAGGTTATTAAACATACTTAAATGCTATTGGAAAACGATAAAAAGTTGAATTTAGAAAAAAGAAACCCGTGTAGTTGCAGGGAACGAATAATAATCCCACAATCACCACATAGAGCAATGTCATTGAATATAATAAGCCTCCGGCGTTTGGAGTCGCATCCACTGGCACTGTGTGACACGCCGATCTATCTCGCTTCTCGCTCTCTTGTCCTGTCTCGAGAAAAGAGGCTCCTCTTCCAAGTTTGACTATGACGCCGTAGTTGTTCGTTTATCGCATGTCTTAATTATAGGCGGAAGGATTCAATTATGCTTGCATAATGTTTTTCATTATAATGGTTCGAAAACTTCGGGAAAAGGATCAAGTAAATTAACTGATAACCATAAAAGTTCAGGACAAGATCTTGTAGTCTAGAGGCGAGGACAATGGTCTCCCAAGTGGTAAATCCATTGTTCGAATACCACCATAGTTGTATTCTATTATGAACTTCGTGAAAAAGATAAAGTAAATTAAAAAACCATTGCCGTTCAGCACAAGACCTTGTAGTCTAGTTGCGAAGACAATGGTCTCCCAAGTGGTAAATCGATTGTTCGAATCCTACCGTTTTTCCTACCGTTTTACCGTTTTTACGATTATTCGAATCGTAACCGTTTTTCACTATGAACTTCGTGAAAAGGATTAAGTAAATTAAATAACCATAGCCGTTCAGCAAAAGATTTTGCAGTCTAGTGGCGAAGACAATGGTCTCCCAAGCGGTAAATCGAAGGTTCGAATCCTACCCTAATCGTTTTTCATTATGAACTTCGTGAAAAGGATAAAGTGAATTAAATAACCATAACAGTTCAGCACAAGTTCTTGCAGTCTAGTGGCGAGGAAATGGTCTCCCAAGTGGTATATCGAAGGTTCGAATCCTACAACAACCTTTTTTCATTATGAACTTCGTCAAAAGGATTAAGTGAATTAATAACCACAAACTTTCAGCGGAATATCTTGCAGTCTAGTGGCTAACACAATGGACTACCGAATGGTAAATCGATGGCTCGAATCCTACCATAATCGTTTTTCATTATGAACTTCGTGAAAAGGAAAAAGCAAATTAAATAGCAATAGCCATTCAGCCCAAGATCTTGTAGTCTAGTGGTCAAGATGTTAGTCTCATGTGTTGACAATCAAAGGTTCGAGTCTCGTTTTAGATTAAAATTTTCGTTATTTATAAAACGTGGTAAGGTTGTGGTGAATAAATTGGTGTAGGCTTCCAACAATCACCAGTTAGCCTTGTGGTAAAGTCGTGGACTATCAAGTACAAGATAGTGTTATCAAGAACAGTATGGTACGTTCCTCATCCCGGTGGAAGGAAAAGGAAAAAACAATAAAAAAAATTGGTAGGTATGTTGCTCGGGGAAGGTTTGTACTCGATTAATCTTTGCAAATCAAAGTTAATCTTTAGGGAAATTTAGGGGAATCAGGGGATAGGGAGGGTGAATGAGGGGTACATGAGTACAAAAAGACTTAGTAATTGGGCGCCACGGCTCCCGGGGGCGGGAGGGAGGGTATAGGTGAGAAAACACTATATAAAATGTTTAAGTCTTTTTGTACTCATTTAAACCTCTTTACCCCTATTTATCCTCCTATTTACTCCTATCTATCCCTACTTTTACCTATCCTCATATACCCCCAACTATCCCCTAACACAATTAAATGTTTGAAGAAAGCTTGCTTTGAAAGTCAGGAAAGCCGGGGGAAAGAGAACCCCCCTCAGTCTACTCCTCGCCCAAGGCGAGGGCATATTCGCCCTCTCGCTCTACTCCCCTCACACTCACAAATTCTCACTTTATTATACCTTGTTCCTTTTCGGTTTATCCAGGGCTTGAACCAACGACTGTATACTTGGCAGATCATCGTCTTCACCACTACACCACCAGTTCTTGTGGTGCAAGCCTAGACTTTTTTATTTTACTTAATCCTTTTTGGAAGGATCTTTGATGAAATAGAAGAAAAAAACATTCCCATCTGGGGCTCGAACCTTCGCCCTTAAACTCGGAGAGCACTGCCTTTGCCAGTAGACCGCACGATCTTGCGATGAAAGGCTGTACTTTTTTATATTACTGAATACCTCATGGGTAGGATGTCAAATGAAATAACAATTTAAAGGAGTTCTTTTTAATGTTCATGATTTATTTTCTTGTCTAAAATTGTATCTTATGCGTAGCTTGTAACCTAATAGTAGCCATTTGTGTTCTCGCTAAAATATCACATACAGGTATGAAGTGCCTTAAAGCACTATTGTTTTCATAAGTTAGTTGTTATATGTGGCCCAAGTGAAGCTAATGGTTACGGTGCAATTGTTTTGTATTTTTAATGAAGTTGATTCAAAGTAAAGTACAAGAATTAAAAAAAGCCGAATGCTCATGTTACTGAGATTGGAAAGTTGATAGCCGTAAAAACACGTCTGAATGTGAATTGGGATTTGGAAAATTTATACGTGTGATGATGCATGGTTCGGGTAATGGGTAATCATTACGATGATAATTGTGTTTATTTTCCTTAGCCTTGTTCCGTCCTTGACCGTGCTAATATTTCTGAAACTCAGTCTGATTTATCCATCTAATTGCGAATTTAAGATGAGTTTCTCTTCCAGACGGAATTCCCGTCCAACTTACCCGACTCTTTATTTAGACGGGAAAATTCGGACAGAAACCCGTCTGTAATTCACATCAGACGAGTTTCCCGTTTTTGATGAATTTCCTGTCTCTAATATATGAACTCGACTAAATGTTTTTAATTATAACTCGTATAATCATGACATGAGGCAACAAACATTACATCTGAAATCGCAAATGAAGCAAATACTGATCCAGTTAAACAGACATTGACTATTTATTTCAAGACTTTGTTGTATAAAAATTCGAAATACTAGCTGGTCTAGCCGGTTCGTCGAATATAAAATACGCTAATCTAATACTTGAACCTTTGGACCGAAGAGACCAACGCCTTAACAACTACTTGACGACCACATCGTTTGTCGATATGCTACTATTCTTTATTTGACTTTATCGTTTTTTCGAAGAACTGTTAAATGAAATAATTATGAATCGTTGTCGTAATATTGTTGAGCTGCTGTTTGTTTGTTTGTTACCGCGGTTAACTGCGGAAATTGTGCTTTGAACTGAACATCGACTTCGTTTTTCTTAGCGTATTTAATATTCGACGAACCAGCTAGACAAGCTAGTATTTCGACTCTGTATACAACAAAGCCTTAAAGAAATAAATAGTCAATGCTGTTTAACTGGATATTTGCTTATCAATTGAGATTTCAGATGTGATCTATACGAGTACGAAGTTCATGTGTTTGTTGCCTCATGACTATACACGTTATACACATTGAAATACATTCTTATTTTAAAGCACTTCATACCTGTATGTGATATTTTAGGGACAACAGAAATAGCTAATATTAGGTTACTAGCTACGAACAAGATACAGTCGTGTGCGTTTTAGACGAGAAAATTAATCATGAACATTAAAGTGAACTTATTTAATTGTTATTTCATTGAGATTCTACCCAAAAAGATATTAAGTCATAAAAAAGTGTAGCCTTTCACCGCAGGTACGTGTGGTCTCCTGGAGAAGGCAGTGCTCTCTGATTTTAAAGGCGGAGGTTCGAGGATGTTTTTTTCTTCTATTTCATCAAAGCTCCTTCCAAAAAAGGATAAGTAAAATAAAAAACTCTACACTTATACCACAAGAACTGGTGGTGTAGTGGTGAAGACGGTGATCTACCAAGCATACAGTCGATGGTTCAAGCCCGGAATAAAACGAAAAAGAACAAGGTAATGAAGTGAGAATTTGTGAGTGTGAGAGGAGTAGAGTGAGAGGGCGAATATGCCCTCGCCTTGGGCGAGGAGTAGACTGAGGGGGGTTCTCTTTCCCCCGGCTTTCCTCACTTTCAAAGCAAGCTTTCTTCGAACATTTAATTGTGTTAGGGGATAGTTAGGGATATCTCAGGATAGGAAAAAGTAGGGATAGATAGGAGTAAATTGGAGGATAAGTAGGGGTAAAGAGGTTTAAATGAGTACAAAAAGACTTAAACATTTTATATACTGTTTTCTTACCTATACCCTCTTTCCTACCCCCGGGAGCCGCGGCCACCCAATTACTAAGTCTTTTTGTACTGATATACCCCTCATTCACCCTACCTATCCCCTGATTTCCCCAAAGATTAATTTTGATTTCCAAAGATTAACCGAGTACAAAGCTCCCCCGAGCAACATACCTACCATTGTTTGTTTATTTTACCGCCACGAGAATTGTCCCATGCTGTTCTTGGTACCTCGATCATTTACTTGATAGTCGACGACTTTACCACAAGGCTAACTGGTAATTGTTGGAAGCCTACACCAACTTATTCTCCATAACTTTACCATGTAATATTAGTAACGAAAAATTCCATCTAAAACGAGATTCGAACCTGCGACTGCCGAAAAATGACACCAACATCTTGACCACTAGACTACAAGATCTTCTACTGAACGGTTATGGTTATTTAACTTACTTTATGCTTTTCACGAAGTTCATAATGAAAAATGGCTATGGTAGGATTTGAACCATCGGTTTACCACTTTGGAGACCATTGTCTTCGCCACTAGACTGCAAGATCTTGTGTTGAAATGCTATGGTTATTAAATCATCCTTTTCACGAAGTTCATAACGAAAAACATGTATGGTAGGATTCGAACCATCGACTGAGCGCTTGGGAGACCATTGTCTTCACCAATAGGCTACGAGATCATGTGCTGAAGGGCTATTGTTATTTGATTTACTTTATCTTTATCTCGAAAGACATAATGAAAAACGGAAATGCTTGGACTTGAACACACAATTTGAAAAACGGAGAGCATTGCCTTCACCACTAGACCAGCAGAACTTCTGGCGAATTACTACACTATTTTATTTTACTCAACCTTTTTTCGAAGGATTTTACATAAAGTTTACTTTGATGATGATTTTATTTGTTGTCTAAAACACGCAAAACTAAATCTTATTCGTAGCTTTAATCGCCGTTTAACAAAATGTGGTCGTGTATGGGCGCGTTGACACGTCGCAGTTGCAGAGAATTGAAGATTTTTAATATAACTACATTAACGCGAATTCCAAAGGCAAAGTGTAAGACAAGTGTATATGGCGGTTTATTTGCATTTTTGAACAATTAAACTTCTATCCTTTTTAATATACGATGTGCTTCTGAATTTCGCGATCGAACAACATTTAGGTTGGCAAGGCATCTAAATGAGTATGAACTTTATTGTTTATGTTCAGATGTTCATGTTTACGTGGCACGTGCACGGCACGCCGGAGAAAACGCCAGAACAGGCGTTGGCGAATGGCGTCCGGTGTGTGTGTGTGGCAATAAGACTGCTTTCCACCTCCGCATTTTTCCAAGGCACGCACGTACACGTATACGGAAATTTTAAATGCCGTGTAGCATCTGGTGAAAATTGTTTTTCTTCCTAAGTTCAAAGGAAAGAACAAGGTGAAATCAATATCACGGTCAAGACAAAGACAAAGACAGGAGTCCGGTAAAAAAGTTATTCGTAGCATGGTCATGTGGTGTTCGAAGTGGCCAGTCGATGGTTCGAATCTTATGAAATTTTTTTTCATTACCCTCTTATAGAGAGGATTAGATAAGATAAATAACAATTGTTGCCAATCACAAGTTCGTGACCGTGACTCCGTGAGGCCTCCCAAGTGTAATTTAAATCGGGTTCCAATCCCGTAATTTTTTTTAACTATGACCTTAAAGAGAACAATCGCAGCAAAAATTGCAAGTATGAACAGGCACGGGTGAATTTCGACCGTCACGTTTTAATGTAAATATGTACACGCACGCGTAAATGTTTGATTGAATCATTCAAACGATGCCTATAAACCGAACGAACGAATGAATTGTTGGATAGGCCGGGTTGAGTTCAATTGATGCATGATGTAGGGTGTTTTTGCGTTATATTATACAAATTAATTACAAAATACACGACTCAGTGTTACTGTGGAAAGTTCAATAAACATTATCGGATAGAAAACAATTTTTTGCACTTTACATCTCCATAAACACACGTTGAACTTGAATTAAAGTGACTTTGCGTTTAATAAATCTGTTTATTCAAATAATTCAATCCATGCATATAATTGTTCATTGTTGCACTTTAACATGCATGCAGTCACATGTCTAATTATATTTATTTAAATTTCGTTGTGTCTGCTTATATTGTTTTATATTCATGTCGTCTCGACATTATGTATAGTCTAATAGCCGGAGAATATCTTCATTATATGGTCATGACTAATGAGTAGCTTTAATAAAGACAGTACAAATAGACAATAATGACAACTATAGATTAAAGTGATTAGCTGAATAATAAAAAAAATAAAAACGTCACACTTCCTCTTTGCATTTTTTCTTAAACGCTTGCGTTGACGACACTAATATTTATTAATCAACTTATCCACTCAAGTAACACACCAGCTTGATTTGATATCACCATCAAGGGTAAGTCTGCACATAATAATATACAAATATATATGATATTAGTTTGTCATACCAAATAAATGATGCTGTACGCTTCCTTTCCAATCTTTGGAAAGATATATAGTAACAATGATACACCTTTCAATGGATGATATATTTCGGTCTGATATATGCATGGTCATGATGCTTATGAGTAATATGAGATATTACATGTACAATCACTTTTCTGTGTGATTTCGTTGCCATGAATGTGAGTGTTTTTCGGAATTTAGAAATGGATGTGTTATATATGCCAATTTTTTACTGCGTGGGATTCTTTGTATGAATTCAAGTTTGAACTGCGCAATTGACCTCGAAACGACCCAGCGAACTTCGACTTGAACTTACAATCTAAATACTATGTTTAATGTAATAGGAAATACGTGTGACTTGGATCATAGCAAAGTAGACTCTGAACTGGACAGACAGACCGACGTAGACTTTCTCATTTTGAACAAAACTAGAACAACTGCATATATGTCTAAAATATATCACACAATTGCGACATTCCGACGGGCCTTCTTTGGGAAAGTTGATAGTCTTTCCAAATCGCCTGGCGAAGGTCCTACAATTGGAATTTCTGACATTTTTACGCCTGCCCTATTTTATATAGGCATCTAACTGTTATAGCTCATTCTTCAAAGAAAATATAATAGGTCTTAAAAGAAGACTGCCACGCTGTTCTTCCATTATTATTCAGGAAACGTACAAATATATTCAGACGAGGAATTTAAACAGTTTTATACAGTCATACTTCTTTTCAAAGTTTCTTTGTCCGTAGCTTTTCTGAAGCAGTCCACAATAAAAGGCGTGTTTGAAGTGCTGTAATGATTTTGATATGCATGAGCATAAACTAGTAAAGTAAACATAACGAAACTGAAGATAATTTATAAGATAGCAAGCTTTATTTAATCTCCGCATGCGTTGGAGCAGGTCTTCTATTTGGCTTTCGTCCAATGTATACAGGTAAGTTCTTTGCCTAAATTTTTTGTTCTAAATCCATATCTTTAAAAAACTAAGTGAGTAAATCGAAGGAAGTTGGTTTTCCAACTCGTGCACGCACGCGCGTACAAAATACACGCGACAGTGAAACTTCCAAAACAGAAATAAAAAATTCGCTCTCATTTCAAAACCGATTCACTCAACTTGAAGTTAACTAAGCATATCATAAATATAGGCAAAGGTCTAACTTTATTTATTTAACCCACATAATTGTTGCACCAAATATCGATCAGGTAATCTATGAAATTGTCTTTTTGTGCGTGGGTATTGCGCAAAACATGAACGTCGTGTATAGTCTATGGCTCTATATATAGCTATGCATATCGTATGCATGATGGGCGTATATATAAACAGTCATGAATTATAATTTCGATTTTATTATATTTCTTCATTATACGTACGCCGTATTAATAAATTCATTTTGAAACAAAACATGATCACATGCATGCTATATTGTTAAAATGATTACGCGACTACCAGAATCTTGTTAATTATAGCTCCCATATTTTAGCCGGCCTTATGCCAAAATCATTAAAAATTAAAAAAACGTGATTTTTCGTGATAAAGATTTTTTGCCTCCCCAGAATTTTTTAAACTTGCTCAAATTTCCCATTTTCTTGTAAAACGTTTCATAAAATAAAAATGAGGGTAAGCCAAATTATTTTCGAGTAAAATGCGTGAATAGGTAAAATATTGAATACCATAACAACGGCAATGAGGTCAGACAATTTCTGACTGTTAGAATGTTGGCTCAAATATATCTGAAAAGGTTCATTTCCTTTAGCAAGAATTCCAAGAAATCTCCTGCCAAAATTTTAAATCCAAATCATTAGTTTGGGATATTCTTAAAATTGTAGGGAGCCACCTTAAGGACAGAATTGTCTAATAAGAGTCGTGTATTTCTGAGTTACCGATTTGCGAAAATTTTTATACAACCGGCCCCTGATTTTGAAACTAGTTACCGCTAAGTAATTTTTCTTCACTTCTTTAGAATATGGAAGGCACAACAGACAGCGTGAAGAGAAATGGTAGACTTACTCAGTAACTCTGGAATGAAAGTTATTCTGAAAAATGTCCGCATAATTTCTCTGCACCAGTTTATTTAATAATTATAATAGTTTAGCCGGTGTACGTTACTACGTTACACACGAGAATTTTCAACATCAACTCGCAACGCAAGAATAAGCAAAAATATGAGCAACTATGTTTTGTGGATTAAACTTTCAACAGTTGATAACTTGTTTCCGAACTTGTTTCTTATATATTAACAACTTGTTGAAAACTTTCAACTTGTTTCCGAAACAGTTTTTGTGTTACAAACTGGCTCATATATAGCAAGCTACCGTAGTCGACGCGTAGTATATATGTTACTCACCAGATTGGAGGTCCGTATATGGAATTATTATATGGCACGCGGTCTTGTGACTAAATGGCGTGCGCTGATTGGTTCTTTGTCAGTCTGGGATTCCCCAGTATTAGACCGTTGCCGTAGTAACGGTCCAACTCTCATACTTCTGAACAAAAACAAGCTTGCACTTTTATTTTTGACACGGAAAATATCGACGGAGAATGGACGAAGAAGAGCACCACCCGGACGAATTTTACTATCCAGAAGATCACTTGGAGTATCGAATGATTTCATGTCCGAACAATGTAGCGAAATAGCGAGTTCGACCAACAGTCAAGAAAAAATTGAAGCCTTCATTGGTAATAAGAGAAGTGCAAACACCAGAAGCAATACTGTTTCGGATATGAATACTTTAGCCCATACTTGAAAAGCATTGGATATTATAGTTATTCATCTTTGATTTTTGTTTATATTACTGTATCACTCTTATTTAATTTAACGAGTAAAAAAAAGTTTTGGAAGCCACTTCAGTGCTTGCTTGGCGACTGGCTGGCGAAAGAGCCGACAAGAATGCTGCAGCGCATTGTATAAATAAATAAACTAAATACTGTATGCCATATAATAAATCCCTTATTAACCGAATACGTTCGGTCCGTACTGGGAAAATATCAGACCTCGGTCTGATATTTTTCTACTACGGACCTCAAACTCGGTTAATAAGTGGTATATATTTCCCCATACGTACGACTAAACTGGTAAATAATAGATTTATTCTTTTTAATTACCCGCCTCCCCCGGGCATGCGTTTTTTTAAATCTCGTAGCCAATCAGATTCCAGGAAACGTTAAAATATGAATTTAGACCGCAAGAAAAAAATAAAAAGCTTGCGTTGTGAGTTGAAAGTTGTTCCGTATAACATTACCTCCAGTATAATTCCAAAACGTTGGCTGTACAAACAGGTCTCAACTGACTTCAAAGTATGGCACTATAGAATGCATGCATTTTTCATCACAGTATATACATTTGATCTAGTCTACTCTCCATACCTTCCTGATTACAAAAAAACCTATAATTAACAGGTGCTTTTTTGCGTTCTCAATTTTAGACTTCCCACCACAAAACTATGGAATTGTCATAAAAAATGGCGAGGTTCTTCGACTATGGTCTTACAACAGTGCATCAGGAGGTAGATTCGTCAGCATCACAGAAGCCAAAGCTACATCTTCCACTCAAGGTGACTGTTATTCTTTAACACTGCATGGTGTACATAGCACACACTTATGTCTCTCGTGACAATTGTCACCTACACACATATTTTTATAGTCTGCAGGGACCATTCAAATTGAGATATTTTATCATTCGTACGTACTCATTATTACGAAAAGAATCGGCAAGGTTTTCTTACAAACAAAATCGCTCCTAAGCAGGCGATATCGCAACTCAAAGTTGCTTGATAATCAACTACCGTCACGCATTGCGCGCTCGGAAGCTAAAAGGGGAAAGGTCTATTGTCACGAGTGACATTTGTGCCCGCTAGGTTCATCAGTGTGATTATGTTTACTTAGAGAAATGAGATATTTATACACCCATACAGAATGCTTAACTGGATACTTATACACAAATACAGAATACTACGTCCATAGTATGGGAATCGCAATTGGTATGGATATTATAAACGTCCAACTAGCATCCACACTATTTCCATAATATGGATTTTGAAAAAAATTAAATTTCCAGTCCAATATATTAAAGGAGTGGTAATAAGATATTGAATTTGATAAGAGTGGACTTGTTTTAAAACTAAGATTTTAATGAACGGTAAATATAATTAATACCCTGAAGAAACATCATGCACAACTCGCAATTCAGTTACAACGTCAATTTCACAGTAGCTCCTAAGAATCGGGGAACTATTGTATTACTCTCCTAATTCACGACAATTACGATTGTTCACGACAATTACGATTAAATGGAAACAAGGCCTAATATGAGTAAAATGAGCGACTGCGAGATTCGATTCCACAGGTCGGATGACCAAATCGATTCTGCATCAATGTTGGAGGAGAGTACATTATATAGGTACTTATTTGCCACAAAGTATGTACAGGGTGTACAAAAATACAAGTTTAATATTCATGATATCCAATTTTTTCAACACAAAAGATAAGTCCCAGAGGCATAAAATAAGTAACATTCTTTAGTTTAATTTTATTAGTCTTATGATTACTACAGTACTAACCCCTTCTTAATCCTTTTAGATTCTACAAATTATGTTGTAGCTGCAACTCAAGAACAGCAACGTAAGATTATGTTCAACAATATTACCAATGAATCTTCATCGCACTGTTTCCTAGTGTTATAAAAACAAGCAAACAAAGTGACTTAAACTTACAAGTAAGAGTTCGATAACGAATGGCTAACGATAAAGAATTTATTGTTTTAAACGTATACGACCAAACTCAATCTCCGTTTAAAATCGTTATTAATTCTGTTGTTAGCTAAGCCATTAGTAATTGAACTAATTTTAATTCACTTTGTGTGCTTATTTTGATATCACTGCGCGTGGAAACGTATTTTCAAATCCCAGAAGCGTAATTAGTTGTACAGGCATTGAAAATTCTAATTTATGATCTCGTGCACACAAATTATGGTATTTGCAGTTTTATTTATGTACCCTGTAGTATATACAACTAGCCAATCACCATTTAGGTACAAAATATGAATTTTATATTATGCTATAATTTAAGATTTCCAAATTGTACTATATACCAAGTATCGTTGTGATAAAATTTGTGATAAAATTAAAATTACAGAAGATATATTATAATTAATAAGTAATAGCACGAATTAAGTGGTGCAATTAATGCGAAATCATACTCTTGGAAAACATATCAAACTCCTGCTACGCGCTCGGTTAATTTTGTAAACACTCGTATGATTTTAGCATTTTAATTGCACTCCTATTCGTTCTATTTCCTACTCGCTCTATTTCCTATTTTTTCTATTCGTTTCCGCACTACTCGACATTTTGTAGCCAAACTTGGCAACTATATACTAATTTCAGTATGCTTTTTTTAGCTGTAGTCAGATTTATTTCCTTCTTCTTACCTACATCATACGTTGGCCAATTATGCAAGTGGTGCAATTAGTGGTGAAATTAGTATAGTAATAATAAGAGGATTATAAAATCTACGTCGTAGAGAAGCAGACCAGCATCCTCAGCCTCATGTCGTTTTTCTTTTTACCTACTTTTGTGCCCTAACTCAAAACTTGATACCGTAGCCGTAGGAATCTCTTTCAATGAAATCTGCTTCTGAGCAAATTATGCTGTTATTTGTCTTTTTATTTAGCTTCCTCGGAAATCAAGTTCATCAAAACTCATGAATTTGCGGAAATCTTCAAAATGCAGTTTCAAAAAAATGACGGTTTTAAATATACTCTGAACGCATCACAAGACGGCAGCATAACGGCAGCTGAGGTTTGTTTATTAAATGCAAGTTGTGAGTATAGAACTATAGCCGTGTTTACACTACAAGCCTGAGCCTGGCCTAGGCCTGGCTTTGGCCTAAATCTTTTTAGAACGAAGCGTTTACACTTACGCTTTGACAGACTGACTTTGGCCTAGAATTTCAGCGGTTTCCATATCACAAGTTTTTTTACTTTGTGTAAACTTTACATTCTTTATATTCTCTGTATTTTTCGCAAAGATGTTTTAGTTTGTGGTTGCACTGTTTAGCAGTACGTAAAATCCCCTAGTCCGACAAGGCCGCTGAAAGTTTACCATAAATCACATTGTTACGAATATTGTAGTTGTCCAATTCTTCTGGACATTTTCTTCACCCCAAAGGTTTAGCAAAGCTTCAGTTTTCTCATCTGTCCAGTTCAAATTCAAATTCCATGTTTATTTGCTTTTCCCGCCAAAAAGCCAAGCTTGGGCCTGGCCTAGGCCACCTGTTATGATGGGCCTAGATTTCCTGGCCTAGGCCAGGCTTAGGCCAGGCCAAAGTGTGTTTACACTAGGAAGATCTAGGCCAAAGCCAGGCGTAGGCCAGGCTCAGGCTTGTAGTGTAAACACGGCTTATGTAGATATACATGCATATGGCAGAAACCCTCGCTATTTCCAACCTTTTGGGCTAGCCAGACGTTTGGCTTTAAGTTTAGCTACATGCCTACATTAAAACGTAAGTCATTATGAAATGACTCATTGAATGGAAATGGTTGTAAGACAATAAATTCCTATGATCATGACTCGGCACCCATATGCGGTCGTAGTGTTCCAAAGACCGTCTATTGGTAGTTGTTTATGGACTTCGTGGTGAACAAAATATACAATACTGTCCAGAGTCCAGACTCCAGCCGAAATAACCTGACAAAAACTGCGGTTAACTTACAATGGTGTGCAAAAATTATGAGACTTTACGTATTTTAAACACTTTTTTTTCATTTTGACAACTATTTTGTCACGTATTTCGTTTAATTATTAACTATTTCCCACTTCCCCCATTGACAATGTTGAGAGTGATATTTTCGGCAAATCAAATTTCTTGGTGTCATCAGAACAACATTGTTTTGGGGGGAGAGGGGGGTAGATACTAGGTGTAATGACCGTGTCTCAATAATTTTTGCACATGATTGTAGGTCAAACCTCAGTCTGATCGCTGTCGAACTGCGGTGAAACGGAGGTTTAACCTCAACCTAACTCGGTCTGACAGACGTTTTTTAAGATGTTTTCGATATGATTATTGTGTTGTCCTTCTCAGCTGTTTATAACATTTCGTTCGGAAGCGAACGGCCACCACGATCGTATTTTTTCCCTTGCGGTCGTCTGCGTCTTTATCGGTCGACCGCAGCCGAACCGCAACCGCAGTGTCGGGTTATTTCTGGACAGTACTGTATTTTGCTTTTTCTCTGTACAAGTATAAATTTTATACATAAGAGATCATTGACATTTTTTAATTATGTGTGCATGCGCTACTTCATGTAATGCAAATTATAACGGATCAAAATGCTAATTGTGGATTAATCCAAAGCCATGAAAAAAACACATTTTCGGGTAACCTATGGTACAAGCTTAAAATTGATCACGAATGAAATATTTTTTTTTAATTTTGGTATGCAGATTGCTGACAGTGATTCAGTGGCACAATTTACATACTACGAGCTAGATCCACCAAATCAGCCGTACGTTGTATTACCAAGTACCAACAGAAGCACAACTGCTGCAGATGGTAAAATATATGACCTGTATTTGAGCAGTGATGGCGCAGGAAATATGTCGCTCAAACGCTGGAATTTGAGTTCGAACGCACTGCCTCCAAAGGCGACTGCATTGATCGATCCATCCTTGTTATTCCGAGTGGTTAAACCATAAGAGAAGATTAAGCCAGCCAGTTTACAGATAAAGCGCAATTGTTGTTTATGTACACTCTTACTGATTTTCTATTATTACTATTGAAATCATTACTTTTGTGTTACAATTTTTACTTTAATATTTTTACTATTACTATTTTTGATGTATTGATCTACTTCTAAAAATCATGATGTCATCGCTATATTCGTATATTATGCAAAATGCATGTGCTGCATGGTTATAATTGTACTTTCGGCAAAACTATATCTTATGCAGCAAATTAACAAGCCGGGGGTCGTTTTAGACCAGTCAGTTTGTTTACATTTTCAGTAACCCAATCATAATGCATAAATTTTGAATACTTCCGGTAAAATAAATACTTTGAATACTTCCAGTAAAGTATTAAAAAATTAGGCATTTTGATCAGCTTTGCTTAAAAAATGTAAACAAATATGCCGATTAGTTCAAACCGAAATTCCCCCCAGCTTAGCAAATGCGATAATAGATGGCGGAATATAGAATTGTTAATGCATGTATTATTATTAAATGTAAGCAGTCATACAGTAATTTCACTATAAATGAGGGCAGATTCCCTGGCAAATCACTCCATACATACTTTTCCATAATGTATATGTTTAAAACCGCTTATACTTTGTATAGCGATGAAGAGTACAATTCGGTTTATCTCAAAAAGGGAAATATTTTGCAATTTGATTTTAAATTGTAAATTGTCATCACATTATTTTCCTTCAGAGTGTAAGCTTTACACCCAAGGGCCTGTTTGCATGGAGCGAGTTATCCGGCTAAGCGGAGGTGAAAACTGCATAATATTGAAAGACTAATCAGGTTAAGCCTTTGATGTGATGCGCTTTTTACCTCTCCTAGCCGGGATAACTCGCTCCATGTAAAGATGCGCTAAGACTAAGTTTGGAAAAGACAAATCTACGTGGTAATGACCGCTCCGCATCACCTCTCTTCACTTCAATTTCCGCTTGTAATAGCCTTATATAGGCTACCTAAAAACGCTATTGAGAAAAAACGATTTACTTCACATTGATAGTTTGAGGATATATCGTAACACAAATGACACATATTATATTTCAGTTTTATTGCGAGTTTTAAAGAGGGAATTTTGTTTTAGAACAAGTTTTTTTTCAGTAACCCAATCAGAATGCATAAATTTTGACTACTTCCGGTAAAAAGATACATTATCTAACATTTTACATGAGGTATTAAAAAGTCGTGAAAATCAAAGTGAATAAACAAAAAGGAATTCAAACTTTTCATCTGGAACAATCTTAAATACATGGCACGAACAGTGTTCAAACAAATGCGTTTCCTGACAATTCCTGTCTACCCTATTTAGTAATTATGAAAGTTTTTTTCTTTCACTGCAATAACAGTCGTGCATCTCGTCGAAGTAGAACATGTAAATTTGTAAGGTATAAGATCCATGAAATTTATGTTATATATTATATATGATACTCATTTTCCTATCCTCATGCATATGATATAAATTACCGTATGTTTTAATTGCCAGAAAAATCAGCAAATAAAATCAAAGACATGCACAATCATGTAATTTCTAATATCAGAATATATATCGATCATTATCGATATATATTCTGGTGTAAGGCGGAAAATCTTTTTACTTAAATCCATTAGACATATACAACTAAAGGCCCTGTTACAACTTACACAGTGCAATTTTCCTTGCAGCTTGCAATGCAATTCTACTTTTGAGAAATGTATATATTTGGGAACAACGAAACGTTTGTGCTTATTACATGCAACGAGCCTAGCTTACTTCACACACATAACAGGTCAAGATCAAACTCTATTATTCATATTTTACATTTGTTATTTATACTCTCGTTATAGGGCGTGTTAGCTTCCTTTAATTATCTATAATGCTATTTTCTATTATTAACTCCAATATTTATATATTAATCTCGCAAGCACTTACAACGGTGCAACTTACTTTTCCTTATTCCATTAGTGTTAGTCTATATTTACAGTTAATCCATTATCCGATATCCGTTATACATACACTTCATGCACTTTTCTTCTGCAAGACTCTTCACTAATTTACATCTCTAAGAAGTAGAATTGCATTGCAAGTTGGAAGAAAAATTGCATTGTGTAACAAGGCCTTAACTTTCAATGTAATTCTTGACTGCCAAGATGTGTCAACTTATATAAATTTATATGAACAGTGACTACAGCCCAATTTCTTTTCTCTGGAGCACCCTACCGGCTTGTTGTTACAATATACCAAACTTTATGAGCGAAGAATATTTTCAGTAATGGCAGGGAACCTATAGGCTCACCAGGGCGCCACATTAGTTGGTGAAAAGTGATGGGACGCTTACATTCGACCCGAAATGTGAATCGATATCCATGCCCACTCTTTTTACGCAACAAAAAGCGATCAACATGCAAGGCATTAAAAATTTCTTTAAGCGAACGAAAAGTGTATTTTCCGCCGCATTTTTACGATGAAACATCCGTCAAAACTACAGAGTAGAGTATGTTGAATTTATTTGTATAGAACTCGCAATTAAATTGCTCACGCAACTAGCGCCGGAAACTCGCAATTAATTGAAGTTCACGGTGCCCGGGCCAATTTAAAAGTTGTACATAAAACAAAATTTTATAACTTTTTGTTTTGTTACGAATACCTGCAAACCTTTTCGAAGTACTGTTCGTTTTTGAACAAACTGCATGTTTATATTTTCCTTCCAATCTCAGCACGTCAGTATTATATTGCTTCAAAATTAGAGTTTAATTTACTTATGTTCGCTCCTGAAACGGCCCTCGCGAGAATGTTTCGCAACATGGACACGCGTTCTGGGGGTAAAATTCAGCTTCAACAATTTGGGGTATTCTAATCAGAAGGTAATGTAAATTATTCATTTTCTCGCCTGAAACGCACAAAACTGTATTTTATTCATAGCTTGTAACTTAATAGCAATCATTTGTGTTGAGATAAAATATCTTACCATAAGCTATTTATATATGCGGCCCAGGTGATGCTAATGGTAACGGTGCGAAGGCTATAGTATATATGACATTGCTCTATCTGGTGATTACAACATTATTACACGTTCACTGCGACTGCGCAGGATTTTCTAATATTTCATTTGGATTTTTATCGTTTTTCAATTGCTTTTATTGAACGTAGTGTCCTTTTTTACTCACAGTATACATTTACTATAAGCTAAAGCAGCTTGATTTGGTTATAAAAAGACGTGAATGAACATTTAGAATTTTGTTTAGGTGATGGAGTAGTGAAAATAATGCACGAATGACCAGGTGCACATGTAGATGCATCATAGCGTAGATAATTAAAATGGTACACGTACATGCATCTTAATCTGCAAATTTAATAAAAGAAAGTTTTCCAGGCATAATAAAAGAATGTTTTCCACACGCATTTAAACCATAGTTTCTCAAGTTGCAAGAACATTATCTTCAAAACTAGGTCATCAACGCTTGATGTTAAGAACTACGTTTATTTTACCTAAATCCTTTTTTGAATGAAAAGCACTCTCAATCCGAGCAAACCGAGCAATCCGAGGATTTCTTCACCACTACCAGACTAACGCATCTTGTGGTTTACTCTTATGCCTTTTTTGATCGTATCTAAATCTTTTCTTTTGCGTCATGTATAAGGAAAACATTTTCCCCGGGCACTTGCAAGACTGTTGTCATCTCCTCTGGACTATTTATTGAACACTTCGGATAATGGACGGTGTTTTCTTTATTAGCTACTTAAATTTTTTTCAAGGTTATCATGAAAAATTCAACGTTATCATGAAAGGATTCAAAACCAACGGCTTAAGAAGCCAAGTTTGAGGTTGCCAGAACAACTCAACAACACGGAGACTGAAAGCTTTAGGACGCGGTGAGATGACTACAAGAGTCTTTTGCCTTTTTTTCCTTTTCTCATGTCGTAAGTGAAAACGAGGCTTAAAAGCTCGCATGCATGAGTGTATACGAATTTACTGATACATAGAGATTACTTCATGGTTGGCGAGTGCGTACGATTATATTATATAAATTATGTGCATGTATAGAGATCAATTTGACAAAGACACGCTCAGCTTTATAATTATATGCAAAAACAAGCGAGCAATAAAAATCGAAATTTTATGCATCAAAACATGTTTATTACCGTTCAGTTTCTTTTTAATTTTGTTCAATAGAAGTTAGATATTCTTTCCGAAAGATTTGATGTGCTGAATGTGAAAATGTCTTGAATATGAGAATTATGTTTTGAATCTCAGTCACTCCTTTTATATCTTCGTCCAATCAAAAGCCGTGTATCGCATTTTTCACACGTAAAAACATCGTCCAAACAAATTGCATAAAATTATTACGATCTCTATACACATACAATAAAAAAGTATATGCATGCACTTGAGTTCAGTGTAAAGCTAAATGAAAGTATTTTATATTAAAAACTAACATGCTCTTCAGCTCATCTACATCGATCGGCATGATATTATGAAACTACAAGTTGAAAATTAAAATGTTCATTACGGACTAAAATGTTCATTACGAATTAATGATGCGTCGAGAAAATACTGGTCACTTTCACTGAACTCTTCCCACGGGATGCGTGATACATAATTGTTGATGAAAAAAACAACAAACATCAATTGAGTCAAGTCTGTGTACGAGAGCTTTCTAAATGCCAATTCTACCTCGTCCAAATAGTTTCTTAGAAATATTGGTACAAATACCAGGATGATAACAAATAAACTGAATCCCAGTCTAAACAACTTTATTGTCCTCCTCTCCCATTTCGCTGCAATCAATAGCATTATGTGGGAAATGATGAGAAGGCAAAAATTAAGCATTTTGAACAGCAGGTATGCAGCCGCCGAGGCAATAAAAGCTCTCTCGGGGTCAAAAGCAGTAATACGATAACAAGTCACGAAATCATTCGTCGAGATTGACGAACAGTTGACAGGGGATTCATCATAAGGGGTTTCCGTTAACTTCACGTCGTCCTTCTTTTTGAAGCAATCGATGTCTGGGCTGTAGACACAGTTATACGTTACGTCAACGATAGCGAGAACAAAAAATAGCTGGACGCATATGTTGACAATTAAAAGTGAACTTAGCAAAAAATGTTTTTTGTTCTTAGCTGAAAGTTCTCTGTTGCAGACGAAGAAGCTTAGTCTTCTTCTTTCGATATTTCTTTTACTCATGATGCCTTTCATAGCAATCAGCATCAAATTTTCGCTTTCTTTGTGATATGACCAAATAATCCAAAAAAAAATGCTTACCATGCTACTGGGAATGAGGCATAAAGCGAAAATTAAGTATCTGTAGCCAGTTAGATCCATTCCTTTAAATCTTGTTACGTGGCCGGACGTGGACTTTTTGGTCTTTTCTGAAGATGCTATATACACCATAAAATTAAGAATTTAGCCCTAATATCTTATTCCGGTAATTAAATGGCGGTATGCCTTGGCCCTTGTCTACTTAATTGCATTTTGTACGTCTGAATCATTTAAGGTGTGTGTTTGTAGCGAACGTATAAATAATATTACAGCTACAATCATATTTTAGAAAGCATATGAAGTTCAATGTTTTTGTGGGAAATAAGCCTCTATATAGTCGTTTGAGCCGGCATAGGCTATCTAATATCTATACACTGGCTGGGCTTGTGTTCAGAACAGGATCCTCCGAGACAAACAGATGTTTTTTATTGTTTTCCCATATCCCCGGGGAAATTCTCTCCCATGGCCATGCAGAAATTTGATACTATCAGTGGTTGTTGTACCATGTATAGTAATACTATGCGGGCGCACGCGAGAAGATGTAACCCTGCAATT